CTGGAGTTAATTCTGAATGGTCTGACTCAAATTAAAATTGTTGTAAAACATCTTGAAACCTTTCATTGCAACTAATAAAGACTTCAAGGTTTAATCCTTAATTGACTGCATCAGGATTTCTTAGAAATGTTTTCAGCATCTCTCTCCCATTCCTGTTTTGATGGTTCTTAGTAAGATCACCTTTGGCGCTTCAAAGACCCTCCTGACGCCCAAAACAATTAAACAAGAACTCTTCTGCCATTGAATTGGAATGAGAGTTGAGCATGGCGAAATGATAGCCTTAAAACATTAAAAAGGAGATAAGAGTTATATAGAGGAGATTATTCTTTGTGGACATTGTGAAATCATATTGGGGTGGATTAGAAGTGGCTAATGATGCAATGTAGCTTTAGAATTTTAGCTCTTCTCAAATTGTAAGCTTCACGTTCCTCTAGTAATAGCTCAATCTTTAATGTGGACCCTGTGGAATACTTCACACCTTATCACAGTCAAAGCCTTTTGATAGTGCATTAGGCCTTGTTGAACTACAAGGGATGGATCAAATTTGAAGTCTTGTATTTTACTTTGAAGAACATTTCAGCAGAAAAAGGATGCAGTAGTCTAATTTATTCCTTGCAAAGGATTTCAAATGACTGAAGGAATGGTACTTTGACAAATCTGTACTTTTCGTGCATAATCGCATGTGATTTCAACATTTGTATTTGTATAGTTTTATTCAGGTGTTGCATTTTGACTTTGTTAGTTTTGTCTTTTAGTTCTTGCGTGCATCAATATCAATGTAGTGGAGAGAAGCTTGTATTTGTAGATTTGAATTTGATTGTAGTGCCTAAAGATTTTATTTTTTTGTGTTACAAATTTTCTGCAAATACTTTTTCGATAGAAATGTCTGTGATTGAGAGACTTCAACACGTGTCTCAGTAGGTACTCTTCTTTTTGAATGTTGTATTTCTGCGTTTTTTGTTTTTCTCTCAACTTTTATTTTTTTTTTGTATTTTTTAAATTTTGCTAGTGTTGCATCTTGCCAAGTGTGTGTCTTTACTAGTCCTCTATAAGATCATGCTTGTGTTAGCTTTGACTTCATTTTTTGTAAGTCACTAATGTTTCCCTTCAGTTAACTGCACTTATCTACTGCTAATTTTTTGACCAAAAAAAAAAAGAAATCTATACTTATTGTTACCTGCAAGTCCTTTTATTGGTTAGCATATGGCTCGTTTGTTATTTTGAGCTTATGGCTATGTTTTTCTGCAGTTCCTTTGAGTGGTCGACTCGTGATTGCTGAAGCTCTTGGAAAGGGGAAAACTTCTTTGAAATCCAACAAGTCAAAGGACCAACTAGAGAAAGACAAATATCTTTTCAAACGAAGAGAAGAACCAAATGAGTTTAAAACCCACATAATCAGCCATGGGCAAGGAGGCTCCTCTAGCCTGCCTTCTCAGGGTGTTGGGTCTGTTCATCTGTTAGAAGGCATGCATTCTTCTGTAGTAGATCACGCAGGTCAAACTTCTGTATCTAGAGTGACTGGGGGTTTTGAGCAATCTGCAAGTCAACCAGCTGGTGTTGAACAATTCCGTGGGCAGGAACATACTCACAATAGCGTTGGTGGAAATTTCCTTTCTGACATTAATGATATAAAACCTGTAGCTCAGGGTTCTAAGCTGCAGACTGATAGTGGGACAAAGAAAGGAAAGCATCATAAGCGTCCAGTAGGGGAGGTGAACTCTGAGAAATCTGGTCCAGTGGAAAAGATTAAGAAGAGAAAGAAAGAAGGAAGCAGGGAGAATAGCTCACATAATGTGGTGATACCCGGTATTAATGTTAAAGAAGCAGCATTTGCCGGAAAAGTTATTGGCAAACCTGCAGAAAAATTTTCCGGTCGTGGAGACGATTCTCAAGTTAAGCATCTGGGAAATGATGATGCAGTAAAAGGTTCTCTGTTGCCCGACATGGGAACTAAACCCTCGATGGTGAATAATGACACTCAGCTTGAACTTCCCCGGTTGCTTGATGATTTGCGAGCTCTTGCTCTTAATCCCTTCTATGGTGCAGAGAGGAGTTGTCATGCAATTGTACGACAGGTAATTTTGAGATTTCGGTCCCTTGTCTACCAGAAAAGCTTGTCCTCACTGGTTCCAGGTGAGAATGAATCAAAAGATGCTCATGGTATAACGCCCTCTCCTGTCTCCTCTGACAATCTTCCTGATAATCTGAGAGAGAGGTCATCTGTGAAACCTCCTAAGCCTCCAACCAGACTGGACGATCCCACAAAAGGTGGGCGCAAACGTGCCCCATCAGATCGTCAAGAAGAATTGACTTTGAAGAAAAAGAAAAAGATCAATGATCTGAAATTACTGACTACAGAGAAGAAAGCTGCTCATAAGGCTCCAGAGGCTCAACGAGGGGATCCAAAGGATACAAGTACAAAGACTGTGGCTCAAGCACCAGAAAAGAAGGCTGCTCAGAAACCTCCAGAAGTTCAAGTAGGAGATGGAAGAGAAATCCCCAGAAAGACAATGCCTCTGGCACCAAGCAAAGTTTCCAGATTGGATCCTGCCAAGACAAGGGGGCTGCCAGCGAGGGCTGCTGATCCAACAATGCTGGTTATGAAGTTCCCAGCAGGCGCAACATTACCATCTTCTGCGGAGCTGAGGGCTAAGTTTGCACGATTTGGGCCACTTGATCATTCAGGTACCAGAATCTTTTGGAAGTCATCTACAATTCGTTTGGTCTATCACCACAAAATTGATGCCCAGGCAGCCTTAAGATTTGCTACCAGTGGTGCCACTCTTTTTGGGAACTCGAATGTAAGGTGCCACCTTCGTGATGTTGAGGCTCCTGAAACAGACTCTACCAAGGTCCAAGAAGATCCTAACCCCGGAATCTCACAATCCCGGGATTCCCCAGTGTTGCAGCAAAGGCTGGCGGCAGCTGGTGTTTCTCAGCCAGTCCAACTTAAATCCTGTCTTAAAAAACCATCTGGGGATGATGGGGCATCAACAGGAGGTGGTAATGGCACTGTTAGGGGGCGTGTGAAATTTATGTTGGGTGATGAGGGAAGTGTTAGGACAAGTTCTGATGATGCTGCAACTTCTCATGGTTTGAATTATAATAGTGAGAAAATACATACGGTTATTCCTCCACCTCCACCTCCACCATCAATTCTTCCTGTTGCACCAAATAAATTTCACCATACTGAATTAGTACCAAGAAATGTGCAGAGTTTCAGTATGCCTGCTGTCCAACCTATGCCAACGCATATTGATATATCACAACAAATGATAAGTCTACTCGCAAAGTGCAAGGATGTCGTGAACAACGTGACGGGTACCCTGGGCTACGTGCCCTATCACCCTCTTTAAAGAATTCATATGGGTAATGGGGCGGCATCACTGAACCTGCATGTCGACTCGCATACGAAGGCAACTTGACAACCTGTGATTCAGAGCCCCTTCCTATCAGAAGTTTGGCGAGGATTTTTTATGTTGCCGCAGAGGATTAGAATGGTGAATCTTGTACTGCAAATGGTAATGGTGATGGTGCTCTAGTATTTATTTTGCTTCTCTTTTTTATTATTATTATTTTTTTAAATTTAGTTGACCAAAGTTTTCCAAAAGTAACTGCTGAACTGTTCTGGGGATGTAGCCCTCACCGTGTTATCTTTGTAGGCATATATACCGTTTGGCATTAAACTTCAGAAATACCACTAGTTAGACAAAGTTGAATTGGGGATTCTGTCCATCTCTCCCACTCTCGGAAACATATACAATACACAACCCCACCCCCAGAAAGAAAGAAATTAAAAAAAAAAAAAAAAAACCCCCCAAGAAAAAAAATAAAGGAAATGACCTCCAGTCCCACACATCCCAGGTAGGCAATATTATTGTTATTACTAATAATCAGATGAAGAAAAGCTGGAGTGAGCATGAATTCGCTTTTATGATGTAAGGGGTGAATGTGATTGCGCCGCCATGGTAATGAAAGTCTGTCCTGTCCGGTCAACAAACACTTCGTGGGAGTTGTATTGCTAGTGGATTCACTGCTTGCTTTCTCTGTCTCCTAGTGTTTGAGCCGAGCTGCTTGCACTGCTCTCTCTCTCTCTACCAAGTATGTCCCAATTCGTGTAAAACGAACCTTTTACCAATATATGTTATGCATATTCTCTCTCTCTCTCTCTCTCTCTCTCTCTTGTGGGAAATGCCTACTTGACTGATGAGTTGTTGCCGTTTCTTTTCACTAATTTAAAAGAGTTGGGAATGATTTGTGGTGGATTCTGGTTTTGGTCCTTGCGGAAACGTTTAGAACCTAACCAAAGAATCGGATACTCTTATTGAGTTTTAACCCCCCCAGCCCACAAGTTGAATATCAGTAGTATTGCGGGCAAAAAAAGAAATAAGTACACTTACTAAAAGTTAAAAGAACAGTAAAGAACCGTATGTGAATGAATGGAAGTAAATGGATGATTGATGCAGCCGAAAATGGGCTCGCACTTTTGTGAATTCCTTATCTTTCAAGGCGGAGAATCCCTCTTGGAACATGGAAAGATGGAAGAAAGTTGAAGAATTGTATTTGAAATTATCCCTATTATTAATTGGTTAAACTGCTTTTTTTTTTTTTTTTTTTAATTTCACTCTGGAATTTCTCCAGAACCATCGCTTTTCCGCGTAGCGTAGAGTCATCCACATCCATCCACACGCAGCAAACAACAACAAGAAAAGCGGCTAAAAGGGTTGAACAGAACAGCATAGATGCTTCTATGCCTATTTTGTTATGTATATGTACTTATCTTCATCTGCAAGAATCTAATGATTCAGGAAACATAAATGACGGACCACACTAAATGTGCTCTCCTTTTTGAAAAAGGAAAAAAACTTCCCTCTAATTGAATTTTGATGATGTGATTTGGGTCGGTTTGGTATTGGGATAGGAATCTTCTCTGTCATTTCCTTTTTCCAAGTCGTAAGCTTGGCTTTTGCAGCCTCCTATATATTGTCGCACGCATTCCTTCATTCTTCACCATCCAAATTTCTTGAATATTATTAGTTCCCGTAGTATCCAATTCTTTTCTCTTATCTTTCAATCTCATATTGATCCTTCAAGAAAAGAGAAGGGAAAGCTTCGAGTTTTGATCAAGAATGGAGTGTTATCCGTTGGACCTTACCATCATATCTGCAGAGGGATTAAAGAATGTCAACGTGTTCTCGAGAATGGATGTTTATGCCAAGGTTAAGATTTTGGGATACCCCAAGAACAAGCAGAAGACGCACGTTGACAAGAATGGTGGCACCGCTCCCAAATGGAACCATCACATGAAATTCATCATTGATGAGCCTTCCCTTAACAATCCAGGCGTATCCCTCCTCATTAAGCTCAAGTCTGACCGCACTTTCGGCTCTGACAAGGAGATTGGAGAGGTTAACCTCCCGATCTCTGAACTTTTCAATGGTGGTGTTGATGCTGACACGAAGGATTCAGGCGAAAGGGTCGTGGAATATCAGGTCAGGACCTCCTCGGGAAAGCCCAAGGGAACCATCAAGTTCTCGTACAAGTTTGGGGAAAAGTTCAAGCAAGAGGCGGAAGCCAAGAAGAAGAATGTGGGTGAGCCTGTAACCGCTTATCCTGCCCCGCAACATGCTGCAGGGGCTAGCATGGCATACCCGCCCCATTATGATCAGGGGTATGCTATGCCCCCTCCTGGTTACCAGCAGCCCTATGGAGGATATGCTCCTCCTCCTCCAGGATATGGTGGATACCCTCCTCCTTCAGGGTATCCACCTGCTGGTGCGCCGGGATATGGATATCCACCCCCGCCCGGGTACGGATATCCTCCTCAGCCATACCAGCAAGTCCAGCCCCCTAAGAAAGAAAAGAACAAGATGGGAGGTCTTGGCCTGGGGTTAGGGGCTGGATTGCTTGGAGGGCTGCTGGTTGGAGATATGATGTCTGATGTCGGAGAAATGGCTGCCTATGATGCAGGCTATGACGATGCAATGGGTTTCTAGATGATGATGATGACGATGGGATTATCAGTGTTCTAACCATGTTTTAATGGTTAGTTAACTTGGGTTTTTTACAGAGCTCTCTAAGGATCTGAATGGAGCTTGATGTTTTATATTAGCATAGCCATTCGTCTTTTTCGATTTTTTGGTGTTTTGAGAGGGAGAGAGAGAGAGAGACTGGAATGGGGAATGATAAACAGAAACATTATGTTGATGTATATATGTTTTGTCATTGACCTTGACAGTAAGTCAATTCGATTGACTACTTTTCTTTTTTTTTTTTCTAATATGGATCTTTTTATTTTATTTTATTTTATTTGTTTGGTCCCCTTTGTTTACATAATTTTGGTTTCTTGATCTCTCTTTTCTGCTAAATTCTGCGGCAATGTGAACTTTGAAGGACCTCCTATCTCCTAAAGCAGCAGGGCATGAGACTGTGTACCAGAACACAAGAAGGAACTCAGACCACCTTGATGTGTTCTATTGAAAAGGTCTGATCAATTCAATAATGCAATGATGTGTTCTACGTGCAAGAAAGGCAAAACAATTTCTTGATTTCCCCCTTATAGTGGCTTAAAGGTGTCACATAATCCAATGCAAATGCCCAATTCTATAGCCCTTAGCAACATCCGAATGTCACAAGAAAATGTACAAATTTATACTTTCCATTCCAAGTTGATTGTTCATTATTTACATGTTATTGGTGTAACAAGGGGTTGCAGCTAAATTTCAGAAATTTACTTCTATACTGTTTAAATCAGTTTATTCTTACCCTAGATTTTTTTTTTTTTTTTTTTTAGTCTTGTGTTTATTTTCACTCAGTCTGTTTGAGCATGCATTGTTTTCATGTGCATTCAATGTCGTATTAATTTTCAAAGAATAGAAGAGAAAATTAGTTGAAGTTGGTTAAAACTCTACTTCTAGCTAAGAAAGAATTCGTTTCAGATAATCCTTTTACTATTAGAATTCAGCTCCATGTCTAATTCTAATCTATTTGTACTCCTTTTCTTTATCAACTTCAACATGGTCAATTAATCCTCACTGTATAATGCTTCTTTTGCACCCTAGTTTCCTCTCGATTTCTAGGAGTCTTCTCTCCTCAATTCATCCAAGAAAACATGGGCTACATACCCTTAGAAATCATAGTAAAATCAGCAGAAGTTTCCAAGAATGTCAATCTTTTCTCCAGAATGCATCTTTACGCAACTGTATCCCTTCTAGGAGACGACGATCCTTCCACCTCAAAGCAGAAGAAAACAAAGGTTGATGAACACAGCGGGTCGCATCCCTTTTGGTGGTTTCCAATGAAGTTTCAAGTTGATGAATCAAAGTTGCAGAAAGACAATCTCATGCTTTTGTTCCAACTGAAGTGTAGTCGAAATTTTCGTGGTGACAAAACTGTTGGTGTTCTTACCCTTTCGGTAAAAGAATTATATGACTCTAGTAAAACCCAAAAGTTCCCTACCAATGTTGCTCATACCATCAATTCTAGGAATTCTGGAAGACTTCATGGTGTGTTGTATTTCTCGTACATGTTTTGCTGTGACAATGGCAATGAAACTACTTATATCGATCAGAGACAGAAGAGTGATCAGAGTTATGATCACCAGAAGATGGATCAAAATTCAAGAAACGATACTATTTTGTCATCTGCCCCGGTGCAATGGACTGATCCTACACCTTCAGCACCATATATTGCCATGGAAGATGATGAATATTTTTTTGCAACAAGCCCTATTGATTCATTGCCAAATTCACTAGTGAATGGCCGTAGTTCTGGATCCAGTATTACGCCTTCAGCACCATATTTGCCCAGTTGAGAATGGATGTTCTTCAATTTTCTAAGGAAGACAAACTCTACAAAAAATTATTGTTATGTTTAAGATATTCTTGACGAAGAAGCCCTTTTCCATTCCCTTTAAGTTGATCTAATTGGGAGAATGAGTATAATAGGTTGAGAAGTTTATGCCACTTGAAAGTTTGTTGTGTACCTTAAACAGTACAATTTGTTAGGGTAAGTTCAACAAACCAATTCTTTTTACTTATCTTCTTAGAATTTCTGGTCTTCTTGTATGATGCCAAGTATTGCAATAGCAACCATGAGTTTCTTTCTTTCTTTCTTTCTTTTTCAATTGTAATTTTTGTGGAAATTTTTTTTTTAATAACTTCTTCCATTAGCACTAATGCACAAGTCAATTTTTCTCAACTATCAATTGCCTTGTCTTCGTATACGATCTACAAAGGACAACACCAATTGACAAAGGAATTCTATGAAAGGAGTTTTTTTTTTTTTTGAATCAAGTTTGTGTATTTTTATGTTCCATATGTTTTTTTAACCAGTATTGTTTGAGCAAATATGAATGAAACCTCAATGTGCAAGGATTTCTAGTTATTTGCTAGTACTAAGAACGAAACAAATTAGGTTTGAGTCTCCTAGTAGACATTTTATAGTTAGTACAAAAAGAAAGATTAGAGGAGCAGCTTGCTTATATATCATGTTGTCTTGAAGAATCTGTTGTCATCTGCAGAAAATATAGATCACACAAAGTAATTTGCTCATCAGTAATATTCTTTTTTTTTTTTTCAATCTTTCCGTCTCTCTCCAGATTCTTTCCACCTCCAACCGTTAGGCATAAGTTCGAATTCTAAACTTGATAGTCGAAAAGACTCTTAACAACTCTTTCCAGCTCTCTCCTCCTCATCATCTTCCATCACAACCTACATTGCGTTCGCTTAATCTTTATATTCTTTTTGCTTTCCAAAAAATGTCTATATTCATTAGAAAAAGCAACAAGATAAAAAGGGGAAAAAACACAAAAAAAAGGGCTCTGTTTGGATTAGTTGTTTTTGGGGTTGTTTTTCAAAAACAGCACTGTAGCATTTTGTTTTTGAAATACAAGTCCGTTTGGATTAGTTGTTTTTTGAGTTGTTTTTCAAAAACTATATGAAAAACTTTTATTGTAGATGTTTTTTGGATTATTTTTAGAGGTATTTTTAAAACATATTTTTGGGTATTTTTATAATTTATAATTTTTATATTTTTATTTTTATATACATTTATACATTTATAATACATTTATAAATATTTATAAATAAATATACTTATATATTCGCTAAAAAATATATAAATGTATTATAAATGAATTATAATATATATATTAGATAATATAAATACATTTATAAATATATAAGTGATTATTATTATAAATTATAAATTATAAATGAATATTATATAAATGTATAAATTACAATTTATAATTTATAATTTTTATATTTTTATATAAATATACATTTATGCATTTATAATACATTTATAAATGTTTATAATTAAATATATTTATATAAAAATATATAAATGTATTATATTATATATAATACATAATATAAATATATTTATAAATGTATAAGTGTATATTATTATAAATGTATAAATTATAAATGAATATTATATAAATGTATAAATTATCAATTATAATTTATATATTTTTATATAAATATACATTTATACATTTATAATACATTTATAAATATTTATAAATAAATATATTTATGTATTTATATAAAAAAATATAAAAATATATTATATTATATATAATACATAATATAAATATATTTATAAATGTATAAGTCTATATTATAATAAATGTATAAATTACAAATGAATATTATATAAATGTAAAAATTATAATTTTATTAATATATATTAATATTAAGTATAAATGTATTAATATAATTAATATAAATGTACAAATGTATTAATATTATGTATAAATATAAAATTAATATTATGTATATTAATATAAATGTATAAATGTATTATATTATATATAATACATAATATAAATTTATATTATAAATATACATTAATATATATATATTATGTATAAATGTACATTTATATAAATGTATAATATATATATAATATATAATATAGGTTATATTATATATAATTTATATAATATATAATATTCATATAAATATATAAAAATATTTATAATATGTATAAATAAATATATAAATATTTAATATATATAATATACATTAATATTAATTATAAATATGGTGTTTATATAATATTTCAATTTGTAATATTTATTGTATATTTCATTATATAAATATTCATTTAATATATAAATATATAATATATAATTTTCAATTTGTATAATATACATAATATTGTATATATAATATATTATACATAATATAATACATTATACATAATATACATTATTACATATTATGTATATTATATATTATGCATAACATTATTATACACAATAATGTACATAATAATATTGTACATTAATAATGTATATATTATAATATAATGTACATAATATATTATGTATAAATATTTACACATTTATGTATACAATATTACATATTATGTATATTATATTATATTATGTATAATATACAATATTATGTATAATATTAATTTATATAAATATTTATATAATATAATATATATAATATTTCAATTTATATTAATATAATATTATATCTATAATATACATAATTGAAATATACATATGTAGTTGTTTTTGATATAATGTTTGGATATGATGTTTTTAGAGTTGTTTTGGAAATACACATTTACTGTAGCATTTGGAATGTGAAAAACAGTTTTTCAAAAACAACCCAAAAAACAGGGGATCCAAACACACCCGAAGATATCGTAAAATTGCACCCTTAAGCGCAAGCCCAAAGGAATAGTAACCTACTGTAAAATAACATCAACAATCACTTCAGTGCCAGAGAAATTGTCCAAGGACAAAAGAGGACAAAGAGGAGTTCGGTCCAACAAGAAATTCCACAATTATATAAGTCCAAATTTCTCCGTTTAAAAAAAAAAAAACCACTTGATAGTTCATACTATCAGTCACAGACAATAATCATTACAATCAGGAGGTATAGAGAATATGCAGAATATTACTATAACTTTAATAACAGAAACACCCTTAGAAATGACGGAGAATATGTAGAATATTTCAACTTAAATAACAAAAACACCCCTCAATAGGCTGATTTTAGATAATTATTATTTAACTTTTTACAAGAAATACATGCTTAAGGAAGGGACAACAAAAAAAAAAAAAAATCTAACACAATTTCCTATCAAACTTTCTTGGGCTACCAAAAGCTACAAAATTCTTAAGATTTTCCAAATGAATTTTCTTTATAGGCATGGTCAAAGCACAAGTGACCCAATTTATGACAAAAAAAAATGTTGTTACCTTGCTCTAAAATAGGTAAAAAAAAATATTGAGTTTTTTCTTTCTTTTGTGAAAAGGATAGAAAATAGTTTTAA